TGGGAGGGCAAATCGGGGCGCCATGACTGCCGCGATACGCCGCGCCCCAGGCTGGAACGGCTGCGTCTGGCCTGTGGGGGGCGCTGTGCGAGGCCGCGTGGTGTGGGGGGGGGCCACCGGCCGCTCTTGCTGATGAAGGAGGGCGGAAGAGCACACGCGTTCAGCTTTGGAGCACCATGTGAGCGACGATCACAAACTTGTCCTACTCGAGATCACGTAGCGACCTTACGCGGCGGCCTACGCGGACGGAAAGGAGGGCGCCTACGGGCGATCTCACGCGGGCAGCTTACGCGCCAATGTCGGCGCAAAAGAATCTGTCTTTTTCCGTCGCTCATGTGACGTACCGCAGGCGGATCTAAGCTCTCCCCGACCTTGTACTGCGCCGAACGCAGCGGCCGCGCTGTCTCTAGGCGTACCCACCCCGAACGTGCCTGCATGTGTCACGGCGCCCGAGGTGCCTGCAGAGGCTAGCGGCGACTTCGTGAGACCAGTATTTTCAGCACAGGCCGCAGAAATTGGTCTTCCAGACACAGGTCGACTTGGCTTGGGGGGCGCGTCACGGGGGGGGTGGGGGCGATACGTGAGGGGGGCAGCGAGGGCTGCAGAAAGGGGGGCCTTTAGGGCCCGAGAGGTGCACATCTCTCCCCCCTCCCAGGTATCAGCTGCGCGTGAGAATGACCCCGGGCAAGAGTGACCTTTGCTGCGCGGCGTAAGCGGGGACGCGGGGGGGTGGCCAAACACCAGCGCCCCAGACGCCATTGTCGCATCGCGCTCTGCAGTCGGAGGACCCCAGTGGGCCCGCACCAAAAGGTCACTCCGGCGAGAAAAGGTCACTCGTCAGTCTGTAGTCGAAATTTGCTCCGGGATCTACTGACTCGGGTCAAGCCAGACCCGGGTCAGTCAGGCTCTGCAGGATCCTGCAAGGTCCTGCGGGATCCTGCACTCGAGCTCGGGGATGGACAGACCTCCCTTTAGTAAAACGTGGCTTAGTGAAAACGACCTGAGGCCCAAACCTGGCGGGCGCAGGCCTGGGAAATGGCGGCCACGGCGCCCTCTCGAGAACCGGAAACGGACAATTCACTAATCGACGTGTCACTGTTGGGGGTTCTGTCCACCCCCGACAAGCCTGTGTCAATGCAACCCTGGCTCTGCAAGATCCTGCAAGATCTTGCACGGGCACCGTCTCTTGAAGGATCCTGCGCCCAAGCCTGTGTCAATGCACCCCTGGCTCCGCAGATCCTGCAGGATCTTGCACGGGCCCCCGCCTCTCGGGAGCGCCCCCGAGGGCCTCACTCCGGCGAAGTGCCCCTCTTACGTTCAGCAGGCATCGGCGGGCCTGCTTTCCACCGCCACCACCATAAGTGGGAAGGGGGAGGGGGTCCACCTCCCCCTCTCCTTCCTCTTCTTCCTCCTCCTCCACCTCCTTCCCCCCTGCAACTTTCAAGGGGCCCTGCGACACACCACTAATAGATACACACGAACAACATGAATCCCCATATTTTCATATATTTCCTGGGTTTTGCCTTCCCGCCCAATTCCCATACTTTCCTACATCTTCTGGGGGACCGACGATGCATTGTGTCTGTGTGTCTCTTCCCCCTCCTGAAACTCATGGTGGTGGTGGACACCGGGCTCCTCGGCCACCTAAGCCCCCCCCCCCAGGGCCTGCCGATCCCGCCTGGCAGCCGGGGGGCCGACGGGCCCACGCGAGACTGGGCGCTCGGCACCGCCCCTCGGGCGCCTCCGCCGCCCGGGGCCTCGGACCGTGGGCAGAGGTAACTCCCTGAGCCGCACTTGTGGAGCAGGGACCGACCGTCCCGGCATTCCTGTATTCCTGTAGTCCCACCACGAAATGTTCTTAGAACCCCCAAATGTTCTAAGAGCAAAGACAATGCTCTTAGAACATGTTCCCGATATGTTAAAACAAGACAGTCCCAGCCAGAAATGTTCTAATACTTCCTGGAAGCCAGAGAAAAGGTTCTCAGAACATTGTTTGGCAGGGCTAGAGGCAAGCCTAGACGCTTCGCCACTGCTTGAAGACTAGGCCGCGACGACCCGGCTGGGATCGGGGGCGCACCGCACTGCTGGCGAATCGTTCCGAGTTGGACCGGCTTCGGATCTGCACGTCGGTCGGAGGAGGAGGAGGGGGAGGAGGGGGAGGAGGAGGGGGAGGAGGAGGAGGAGGAAGAGGCAAGGCAAAGAACACGTGGTGTGGGAAGGCGAATAGAAGCAGACTGGGTTCCGGCCCTCTGCCAGAGAACCTCAAAACGCAGCAGACAGCAGATCGGCTCTTGAAGCAGGAAGGCGCTTGGATTGGGATCTGGCGCTTAGAGTGGGAACAATAAAACATTATCCCAGTGCGACCCTACCTAGGAGTTTGAGCATTTAGGAAAGCAGCATCTACATCTACACCCACAGCTACATTTACATCTACACCTGCATCTACATCTACATCAACATCAACAACGAGACTCACATCTACATCTACATATACTCCTACACCTACATCTACATCTGCACTGCAGGTCCGGCTTCGCGTTGCTTGTGCTTTGCTTCGCTGTTGCTGCTGTTGCTTTGCCTTTGCTTTGCTGCTATGCTATGCTATGCTATGCTATGCTATGCTATGCTATGCAGCGCTGCGCTATGCTATGCTATGCTTTGCTATGCTTTGCTATGCTTTGCTAGGCTGCGCTAGGCTGCGCTATGCTATGTTATGCTATGCTAGGGTACGCTCGGCTGCGCTGTGGTATGCTAAGACATGCTATGCTATGCTGCGCTATGCTATGCTATGCTAGGCTGCGTTATGCTATGATATGATATGCTATGCTATACTATGATGCGCTATGCTATGATAGGCTAGGCTATGATATGCTATGCTGCGCTATGCTATGCTATGCTATGCTATACTGTGCTATGCTATGCTATGCTGCGCTGTGATATGCTAAGCAATGCTATGCTATGCTATGTTATGCTATGCTGCGCTGTGCTATGCCATGCCATGCTATGTTATGCTATGCTGAGCTATGCTATGCTATGCTACGCTACGCTTGGCTATGCTATGCTTTGTTATGCTGTGCTAATGCTGCACTGCGCTATGCTGCGCTGCGCTAAACTAAGCTAAGTTAGGCTAGGTTAAGCTAAGCTAAACTAAGCTAAGCCAAGCCAAGCCACGCCAAGCTAAGCTATACTAAACTAAACTAAGCTAAGCTAATTTAAAATGAGACAAGCCAAGCTAAGCTAAGCTAAGCTAAGATGAGATAAGCTAAGCTAAACTAAACTAAGTTAAGCTAAGCTTAGCTAAGCTAAGCTGGGTGAACCCAGGGGGGCGCAAGTGGGGGAACCGCGGGGCGGATGCCGGGGGAACCGCCCGGGGCGGGGACCACTGCCCGGCCCTTCAAGCCCATAGAGTAAGAACACTTCTAGGCAGAGCCTAGGTCGGGAATAACCCCCCAGATGCCCCCAAATGGTAAACAAATGCTCCAAAAATAGTCCCCAAACCATTTCTGGCCGGGCCGGATTCCAGACATACCTATTTTTAACGGCCGGCGTGCAAGACGAAGCCAGGGAGAGAAACTCGGGTGGAGAGATGGATCGACAAATCTCCGGAATCCGGCGGCTCTGGAGGATGCCTCGGGCGCCGTGGCCTTCTCAGAGCGTCGTGGAACGCTCTGAGAACGCTCTGGAACGCTCTTTAACGGATTTACCCTCGTTCTAGCGCCGCCCGACTAATCGTTCCGAGTCGTATCGAACTCGGATTGCGGCGACCGGCTTCGTCGGGCCCCAGCCGATGCCAGCGAATCGAACCAAACTCAATCGAATGGGAATCGCGGCCCCAGCCAGCGAATCGAATCGCGTCTAATCGGATCGTAGGCGGCCCTGGCAGCGGGCGCTACGAGAGGCCGCCTTACTAGGCAAGCCGAAATCTCTCTCGCACGCCAGTACGACCAGCGTCGCAACACGAATTTTGAACCGCTCGTTTCTCTTAGGTTGAATTCGTTTGGCTCTCTCCGTGACCCCCTTTTGCGCGTCGCGACAAAGCGAGTAGATCCAAGTGACACGCTCTACATGTAGGCTCTACGCCACGCGCGAACTGATTTTCCGATGGCACCAACTACACATCCGAGAAATTACTACCAAACTGCGGCTCAAGAATGTAAGCTCCTTCGCCGAAGGCCCAAGCCCCTGTCCGATGCGCCTTCTGTTGTCCTCGTCCCCGTCCACCCTGCCCTTGGGGAAACCAGAAGGTACCGATAACGCTACTCTCTGAACCTCTCCCAGAGTGCGTTCTGACCACAATGTCAAAGCGAACGGGGCCTCCGAAGATGCTGGACAAATGGAAGACGGGCGAAGCGTACCGGTATCGGTACCTCTTCCTCCTCTGGGAAGCGGAAGGCACTTGCATTCCACTCTCGTCTTGTCCATCTCACGGCGGTAGCTGTTCTCCAGAGTCTGAAAAGGGAGCACCCCGCCCCGGCCGCCGCCCCGCCCGGTGGAGAGTGGAAGAGCAACGAATGGAGACAACGCGGGTGCAAAGAGACAGAACATCTCCCCCTCCCCCTCCCCCTCCTCCTGGAACGCGTGCATTGGAGCACGTGAGCGACGAGCAGAGAGGGGTCTTCCGCGAGGTGGCATAGCGATCTTACACGGTGGCCCGAGCGGGCCGCCAGCGCGGCACGCCACATTGGGAAACGGGGGCGCTCACTCGTGACCTCACGCGGGCAGCTCACGCGGAGATGTCGGCGCAATCGACCCCGTTTTGGCTTGCGTCGCTCACGTGCACTGGAGCGCGTGGCAGTGGGGGGTGCAGCGGCAGAGGGGTGATAGCTTGGGGGACGGTGGCCAGAGCTTGCGAGGCGATGTCAGACAAAAGGGGGCGACGAGACGTAAAATAGAAGAAACAAAAAACTGCATACACATAAACTTTTGGCGCTCCGCGCGGATTTCTTGGATCCGCGCTGGACCCCCCTCCCTGGCGCGCGGAGCGCGCCAGGGGCGGCGCCAGAGGCGCCGCCGGGGGGGCCCGGGCGCGGATCCGAGAAATCCGCGCGGAGCACCAAACGTTGATGTTTATATGCTATTTTTTCTTCGTGAACGAAGTGAGACGCGACGAGTCGAAACATGCCGTTGTGTCAGAATACCCGCCGCCGCGCTTGCAGCGACAGCATGTCGTGTTTTGTTGTGGGCTGTCGCTTGTTTAGGGAACCGAACTCTATACACCGACGCCTTTGTCTGGCCTCACACTGAATCTCGTACAGGAAAGCAGATTCTGGTGTCCCCGGGGAAACGGTGAAGAAAGTATACACCACACCACCCCGACGTCGTCCCCGACCCTCAAAAAAGTCCTGGGATTGAAAAGCCGCCCGCCACTGGTAATGTATACGTTCCAATTTCGAAACAGTGCAAGCCCACGACGCACCGAGCCCGCCGTTCGCAGCTCGAATCAAGCTCTTGAATGTGTGGCCTTCCGTGCAGCAGGCAGTCCTACAAACACCATCCCGGCACGCCTGCACTTTCCACTGCAGTGGAGGCCCGTCCACAGGAAACCCAACCGTGGGACCCCAGGGCGTCCATTGGTTCTGGTGTGGGCACGTCACGCTTTCCATAGAAACAAACAATCGAAACCGAAGTCACCCAGGGCACCCTGGAGGCAAGCAGGGTGCTTCTTGGCATGGGCCCCCGCCGTACCTTCTCGCTGTCGGGCGCCCACCCGTCCACCCCTCCCAAGACCACCCCTCTCCACCCGCACGGGCGCTCACCAGAGCGCGGTGGCGGATGACGGGAAGCGCCTCTGGCGTGCACCGCTGGTTCTGGGGTAGAATCGAACTTTCTCTAAGTACAGGATGCGGGGTGCTCCCGGCACCTCGCTGGCGCATGACGGGAAATGCCTCTGGCGTGCACCGTTGGGTCTGGGGTATAAACTTTCTCTGACTAAAGGATGCGGAGTGCACCAGGCAACTCGCTGGCGGATGACGGGCGTCTTCGAGGAACTCGAAGCGAGAACTGGACTTCCTGGCTGAAGCAATCGCCGTTTCGCTCGAGACATCATCCGAAAACTCGACTCTGGAGAGGACTCCGAACCAGCATTATCTTGGAATCGCTTCTGGAGGGCTCCAAAACGACCCAAGAGAGCTCCCGAAGGCCCCCCGAGGGGACCCCAAAGGCGCCCCGAAGGAAGAGGGCCCCCAGAGGGCCCGCAGAGCGCCCGAGGCCCCAGGACTGCCCAGAGGGCCCACGACAGCCCGAGATGGTGCCAAGATGGCCTGAGCCCCCACAGAACCCTGAGGCATGCCCAGACAGCCCAAGCAGACCCCAGCAGATCCAGAAGGACCCCGACAGGCCCCCAAGAGGATCCCAGGGTGCCCTCAGATAGCCCCAGACGGGCCCAACAGCCCCCAGGGTAGCCTCAAAAGATCACGAAGGCCCCTCTCTTCTTCGACGTCCTTTTCGTCGGGCTCCTTACCGTCCTTCTTCTTCGTCGTCGTCGTCGTCCTTCTTCTTCTTCTTCTCCTCCTCCTCCTCCTCCTCGTACACCCATTCGTTCCTCCTCGTACTCGTCCTCCTCTATCTCTTCCTCCTCGTCCTTGGGCTTGTATTCCTACTCGTTGTCATTCTGCTCTCCGCGCTATCCTCCCCGTCATCCTCGCTGCCATTCTTATTGTTTACGCCAATGACTGCGCTACCTTGTTCCAATCTGGAGAGGGTATGGAAAATCTGGTTACCTCTACCCCTAGCCTGGCCTTCCTCTGGGCCTCTGGAAGATCTGGAAGAACGAGGCAATGGTCTACCTCTGGCTTCGTGTCTTCAGCTTCGCCTGGACTGGTCAAGAGTCGAGACGAACCGACGCTGGGGGGACACATAAGAGAGCTGCGCAACGCGGGCCAGTGAGGAAGAGCGAGAGTGACACGGCGAAAAAACGGAAGCGGCGAGCTCACTTCCTCAGCAGGAAGCCCCTCACGCCACGGGGCCTACACGACCACCGGCCAAGCAGCCACACCGCCCTCACGAGCAGGTAAGCCAAAAAGCCCACGGGCCCGAGGAAGCACGTCAGCACCAAGCACGGCACAACGAGCAGATGCGGCACGCGCTTTATGCGTGCGTCGAGCACCTCGCCCAGCCCCACCAGGGGATCGAAGACGCAGTAGTGCAGCCAGCCGGCGAACACCGCATCGTTGCTTCTGAAGAGGGACGCCACGCCCTTCAGGGACGAGAAGGCTTCCAGGGACACGGGCACCGGGTGCCGGATGCTGTGCACGATCGCCGCCGCGTAGACCAGTGCGCAGACCGCGGGGCCCAGGAGGGCAAGACTCTTTGTGCCTTTCCACCTGGGGAAGAACACCAGCAGAGCCCAGCTCAGCAGCCCCGCGTTCTGCACCGGGAACAGCTGCTCCGACGTCAGGCCCAGCAGCGTGAACGGCACGGGCAACGCGGCCAGGCCCGTCGCCCCCGGCTGGCGCGGCGGGCGCGGCCCGAGGCGCGGCGCCGGGCCCGCCGCGCGGGGCGGAGCGCCCTGGGGCGGCGCGCTGAAGGCCTCCGCCGCCGACGCGGCGGCGGCCGCGGCGCAGGCCGCCGCGGCAGCGGGCAGGCGCGAGCGGCGCCCGCGGCGGCCGCCCATCGGTGCTGCCCGCAGGGCCCAGAGAGCCCAGGAGGGGCCCCCCGCGCCGCCTGGGTCGGCCGCTGGCGGCTGCCTGGCTTGAGCCAGAATGGCTACGGAATCATCCTCGCTGCCATTCTTGACATCCGCCGCCTTGTCATCGCCATCATCACTGTGTCCGTTCCCCCCACGAGCCCAATAGACAAAATCGGCGAGCCCGGTTTTTGTCCGATCACGTTCCTGGAACATGGCCGTTTCGCTGGAGACATCATCCGAAAATCGGCTCTGGACAGGACTCCGAGCCAGCATTATCTTGAAATCGCTCCCGGAGGACTTCGAAACGACTCAAGGAAGCTCCCGAAGGCCCCCGAGGGCACCCCAAAGCGCCCCGAGGGGCCCGCAAGAGGCGCCCACCCAGAGGCCCTGAAGAACGCCCAAAGAGGCCCCAGGACTGCCCAGGAGGGCCCCAAGACGGCCCACGACAGCCCCAGATGGCGCCAATGTAGCCTGAGCGAGCCCCACAGAACCCTAAGACATGCCCAGACAGCCCAAGCAGACCCCAGTAGCTCCAGGACAAGGACAGGCCCCCAAGAGGACCCCAGGATGCCCCAATTTAGCCCCAGACGGCCCCAACAGCCCCCAGGGTAGCCTCAAAAGGTCACGAAAACCCATCTCTTCTTCGACGTCCTTTGCGTCGGGCTCCTTACCGTCCTTCTTCTTCGTCGACGTCGTCCTTCTTCTTCTTATTATTATGTTTCTTCTCGTATCCGTCCTCCTCCTCCTCCTCCTACTCCACCGCTTCGTTCCTCCTCGTACTCGTCCTCCACTACCTCTTCCTCCTCGTCCTCTGGCTTGTCTTCCTACTCTTTATCCTTCCGCTCTTCTCGATGGCCTCCACGTCATCCTCGCTGCCATTCTTGACATCCGCCGCCTTGTCGTCGCCATCATCATGTTCGTTTTTCCCCCTACCAGCCCAATAGACAAAATCGGCGAGCCCGGTTTTTGTCCGATCACGTTCCTGGAACATGGCCGTTTCGCTGGAGACATCATCCGAAAATCGGCTCTGGACAGGACTCCGAGCCAGCGCTATCTTGAAATCGCTCCCGGAGGACTTCGAAACGACTCAAGGAAGCTCCCGAAGGCCCCCGAGGGCACCCCAAAGCGCCCCGAGGGGCCCGCAAGAGGCGCCCACCCAGAGGCCCTCAAGAACGCCCGAAGAGGCCCCAGGACTGCCCAGGAGGGCCCCAAGACGGCCCACGACAGCCCCAGATGGCGCCAATGTAGCCTGAGCGAGCCCCACAGAACCCTAAGACATGCCCAGACAGCCCAAGCAGACCCCAGTAGCTCCAGGAGGACAAGGATAGGCCCCCAAGCCAATTTAGCCCCAGACGGCCCCAACAGCCCCGAGGGTAGCCTCAGAAGGTCACGAAAACCCCTCTCTTCTCGGACGTCCGTTTCGTCGGGCTCCTTACCGTCCTTCTTCTTCGTCGACGTCGTCCTTCTTCTTCGTTTCTTCTCGTACTCGTCCTCCTCTTCCTCCTCGTTATCGTGCTTGTCTTCCTACTCGTTGTCCTTCTGCTCTCCTCGCTGCCCTTCCTTCCCTTCATCCACGCTGACATCCTCGATATCCGCCGTCTTGTCGTCGCAATCATAATTGTTGTCGTCCAAGGACAGGCCCCCAAGAGGACCCCAGGATGCCCCAATTTAGCCCCAGACGGCCCCAACAGCCCCCAGGGTAGCCTCAAAAGGTCACGAAAACCCCTCTTCTTCGACGTCCTGTTCGTCGGGCTCCTTACCATCCTTCTTCTTCGTCGACGTCGTCCTTCTTTTTCTTCTTCTTCTCGTCCTCCTCCTCCTCCTCCTCCTCCTCCTCCTCCTCCTCCACCGCTTCGTTCCTCCTCGTACTCGTCCTCCTCTACCTCTTCCTCCTCGTCCTCTGGCTTGTCTTCCTACTCGTTATCCTTCCGCTCTTCTCGATGGCCTCCACGTCATCCTCGCTGCCATTCTTGACATCCGCCGCCTTGTCGTCGCCATCATCATTTTCGTTTTTCCCCCTACCAGCCCAATAGACAAAATCGGCGAGCCCGGTTTTTGTCCGATCACGTTCCTGGAACATGGCCGTTTCGCTGGAGACATCATCCGAAAATCGGCTCTGGACAGGACTCCGAGCCAGCGCTATCTTGAAATCGCTCCCGGAGGACTTCGAAACGACTCAAGGAAGCTCCCGAAGGCCCCCGAGGGCACCCCAAAGCGCCCCGAGGGGCCCGCAAGAGGCGCCCACCCAGAGGCCCTCAAGAACGCCCGAAGAGGCCCCAGGACTGCCCAGGATGGCCCCAAGACGGCCCACGACAGCCCCAGATGGCGCCAATGTAGCCTGAGCGAGCCCCACAGAACCCTAAGACATGCCCAGACAGCCCAAGCAGACCCCAGTAGCTCCAGGAGGACAAGGATAGGCCCCCAAGCCAATTTAGCCCCAGACGGCCCCAACAGCCCCGAGGGTAGCCTCAGAAGGTCACGAAAACCCCTCTCTTCTCGGACGTCCGTTTCGTCGGGCTCCTTACCGTCCTTCTTCTTCGTCGACGTCGTCCTTCTTCTTCGTTTCTTCTCGTACTCGTCCTCCTCTTCCTCCTCGTTATCGTGCTTGTCTTCCTACTCGTTGTCCTTCTGCTCTCCTCGCTGCCCCTCCTTCCCTTCGTCCACGCTGACATCCTCGATATCCGCCGTCTTGTCGTCGCAATCATAATTGTTGTCGTCCAAGGACAGGCCCCCAAGAGGACCCCAGGATGCCCCAATTTAGCCCCAGACGGCCCCAACAGCCCCCAGGGTAGCCTCAAAAGGTCACGAAAACCCCTCTTCTTCGACGTCCTGTTCGTCGGGCTCCTTACCATCCTTCTTCTTCGTCGACGTCGTCCTTCTTCTTCTTCTTCTCGTCCTCCTCCTCCTCCTCCTCCTCCTCCTCCTCCTCCTCCACCGCTTCGTTCCTCCTCGTACTCGTCCTCCTCTACCTCTTCCTCCTCGTCCTCTGGCTTGTCTTCCTACTCGTTATCCTTCCGCTCTTCTCGATGGCCTCCACGTCATCCTCGCTGCCATTCTTGACATCCGCCGCCTTGTCGTCGCCATCATCATTTTCGTTTTTGTTTCCCCCTACCAGCCCAATAGACAAAATCGGCGAGCCCGGTTTTTGTTCGATCACGTTCCTGGAACATGGCCGTTTCGCTGGAGACATCATCCGAAAATCGGCTCCGGACAGGACTCCGAGCCAGCGTTATCTTGAAATCGCTCCCGGAGGGCTTCGAAACGACTCAAGAAAGCTCCCGAAGGCCCCCGAGGGCACCCCAAAGCGCCCCGAGGGGCCCGCAAGAGGCGCCCAGAGGCCCCCAAGAACGCCCGAAGAGGCCCCAGGACTGCCCAAGAGGGCCCCAAGACGGCCCACGACAGCCCCAGATGGCGCCAATGTAGTCTGAGCGAGCCCCACAGAACCCTAAGACATGCCCAGACAGCCCAAGCAGACCCCAGTAGCTCCAAGAGGACAAGGATAGGCCCCCAAGCCAATTTAGCCCCAGACGGCCCCAACAGCCCCGAGGGTAGCCTCAGAAGGTCACGAAAACCCCTCTCTTCTCGGACGTCCGTTTCGTCGGGCTCCTTACCGTCCTTCTTCTTCGTCGACGTCGTCCTTCTTCTTCGTTTCTTCTCGTACTCGTCCTCCTCTTACTCCTCGTTATCGTGCTTGTCTTCCTACTCGTTGTCCTTCTGCTCTCCTCGCTGCCCTTCCTTCCCTTCATCCACGCTGACATCCTCGATATCCGCCGTCTTGTCGTCGCAATCATAATTTTCTTGTTTTCTCCCTACGAACCCAATGGACCAAATCGGCGCTTCCCGTTCTTGTCGATCAGGTTCGCGCGGCAGCGCAACTGGATCCCCTAGTTGCCCAAACACTAGATTCCTCCAAGCCCCTCCGTGTGGCTGACGGGATCTACTCCTAGGTGGCGCGATCGCGTTGTGCGATTCCTCTGGAGTTTTCTACTTCAAGATAGCTCGCGGTGTGTCCCGCCGCCACCAGACGGCGAACCTTACATCGTACCCCGTAGAGAATGCCAAGGTCAACCAATGTGTGCCCAGCCAGCCTGCGTCTCCTCGGCTTCGGCTTCGTCGTCGTAGTCCTCATCCTCTTCCTCCTCCTTCCTCTCTGTTTATCTTTCCTTCCTCGCCTATTTCCCCATCACACCTCCCGCCGAAGCGCCAAAGGTTGACCCATATGTTGAGCCATAGATTCGGTCAATGGGTTTTGTATTGGTTGTGACATCTATGGGCTGTGCCATAGGTTATGCAGTGCGTTGCGCCACATATTGTGGCATTGGTTGGTTGCGCTAAGGCTCGCGCCATCCTAGGGTGTATCATTGGTTGCGCCATGGGTTGCGTCATAGGCTGAGCCATGGGTGGAGGTCATGGATTGCGCCATTGAGAAGATCAATTGGCCTGCTAGCTGGCCCGACCAGCGGATCAATCATTCAACCATTCAGTTAGTCAGTCAGTCAGCCAGTCAACAGGAGCCAACTGGTCAGTCAGACATCTCATGAACAGAACTTTCGGAATACGCCCAGCAAGGTCTTTGCCTCCATAGCATGACTTGAGAAATGGAGGTCGGGAGGGGTCAAACTGGCCCCGACCTTCCATGGCGCAACCTCCTCAACTTTGGAATACTCAATGTCGAATCATCGTTAACGTATAACAGAAGAGGTGCGGCCATCACGCCTTCGAACAAAAAACACCACTGTGTTTATGCTGCCGCGTGAGTGCCCTGGAAGCGCAGGGGTCACAGGACCGAGTCTGGGGAGGGCAGACACGCGGAAGGCTGCCTGGTATGTCGTGACCACGACGTCACACTTCCGGAACTCGGCCGCCTGACTGA